CACTCTAGGGTTTTCAACAGAAGAACCCCTCATTAGCAAGAGGACAACCATATTAGGATTGATCAACGTCATTGCATAGTCTTAGCATGCACTGCAAAAGATACGCCTCTCCTCTCGTTAACCATTTATAACATTTTGGCTGGGGAGGGGCAGGCCGATCAATATTCAAAAGGAGAGGAAGGGGGTGAGCATGTGAGGAGGGGGAACAATAACAAATTGGTATCTCTTTGGAGAATTGCCCCACAGGCCACACATTTTTATGTTCTTAATCATTATTAAATGACTTCATGTCACACGCCGGCTGGCAAATGGCTGCGTCCCTGACACAAGAACGAATTACAAATGAAATGGAAGATCAAGCTGTATTAGACGGACTGCCTCTGGGAAATGAAAATCTTTAATTCTCTTTTATTATTGACATTTATTTGGCTGCCACGAATAACAACATGGCAAAGAGATTCAGCTACGCTTGTGTGCTGAAGGGCTTATCCCAGGGCTCAAAACCGACTTAACATTTATCATGTTTGCTCACGTAGCTGACACTGCAACGCACACTTTACCCATCTTGGATTTATCAGGCATATTTTTAGAAAAAGAAGAAGCACATTCCCTAATTTTACCATTTTCATAAGAAGTAAACAGGACAGATTAGAAAAACTACAACCCTCAGATAAGCTCCTAATTACAAAAAGGGAACCCAAGAGTGGGTTAACGGACGCATTACCATCTCCAGCTTCCAAGGAAGAAACAAATACACAGCAAAGAAGCAACTGTCACATGTATACAAAGGCTACCTTAATGGTATTTTCGGGGGCCAGAAGTAGGTATTTTGCTCAAACCCTGTTGGAGCTTCCATGGTGGAGTAGCCACAGATCCATGTAAGCAGAATCCAACTCGAAAGCAGGAGAAATAATATGGAATGTCCCATTACAGCAAAGCCAGACGCTGTCAACTGATAGTTTACAAGGTCAGGACTGGAGGGACTGTCATGCATAGGGCACATCCTCTGGTTAGGACAAGCCCTCTAGCACTGCTGTGTCCTCTGACACAGCTGAACAAATGGCCACGGCACCTCAGATGCCGAGGAAGCTGCACTTGCGGACAGCATGAAGAACAGGAGGTCTGCAAGCCGAGACAGAGAGCCAAGAGCCTGGAAATCAGCCTTTACAAGCAATCGGAGGTGGTGTCAAAGTGGACTTAGCATAATCACATGCTGGCAGGAGGGGAGAGGAAGCAGGACTGAAGCGGAAGTGGCCAGAGAGGGATGGCAGCAAAAAATGAAACAGTAAGCAAGAAAGGAACCACTGCTGAGAGACAGCTGAGCATCAAGAGCACCAAAGGCAAGAAACTTGGTGGTGGTGGTGGTAGAAGGTGCCACCAAGTGGCAGCTGACTTATGGAGACGCTGTAGGGTTCTAAAGGCAAGAGACGTTCAGAGGTGGTTCGCCTTTGCCTGCCTCTGCATCACGACCCTGGTCGTCGCCCATCCAAGCACTAACCAGGACCAACCCTGTTTAGCTCCTGGGCCACCCAGGTCAAGGCAAGAGACCTGGCAGCCATCTGGAAATAAACACAGGAGTCAATCAGGACTCAGGCCGTGCTTGGCCAGTCAGGAACCACTCACCATGGGCAGGTCTGCGAGCTCAAAAGAGACCTTCACAGACCAGGGGGGCCGGTACACTGGGCGGTTCTGTGGCCGTAATGCTGCCCATGCCTGTTGCCTTGTCCTGACTGGCCTTCTGGGAAGACCTTGGGATTGCTGCTCTGACCAACGGCTTTGCCTTCTTGCCCTTCAGGAAACCCGCCTTACCCCAGGCACCACTGAGAGAGATCAGGACTCCTCCACTGCATGACAGTGGGAGAAGCCAATGCCTGTGACGCTTGCCAGTGTGTGTCCAATCGCAGATGCCCTTGATAAGTGTGATGGTGGGAAGTGCCATCAAGTTGCAGCCGACTCAGGATGACCCTTCATGGGGTTTCCAAGGCAAGAGACGTCTGGACACGGTTTGCCATTGCCTGCCCCCCCCCCACCGGGCACTCCCTGGGTGGTCTCCCATCCAAGGACTGACCAGGGCTGATTCTGCTCATCTTCCGAGATCTGAGGAGATTGAGCTAGTCTTGGCCACCCCGGCCAGGGCCCGTGATAAGCATGCCCAGGCTTTAAGCGTGGCCTGGATCCACAGTTCACTGAAAACTTTGACGACTACTCCTTTTACCTTTCTGGACTGTCTTTCTACATGTATAAATTTCAGCCCCATGCAAGGGACAACACTAGAGATGTGAAGGCCCGGAAAAAAAACCGGAAAAATCCGGGGGGGAAACGTTTTCCCCCCGTTTTTTCCCTGAAGCCTTTTTGTTTTTTTCTGATAAATTGGAAAAATTGAAAAAAGAAAAGAAAAGAAAAGAAATTGATTATGGATAAATGATGAGTAAAATATTTTAAGACAAGGTGTTCAAATATTTTCCAAATCATTTCTAAAATATATATATATGGTATCAGATTGATCTAATTTCTGTGCACTGAGGACAAGCAAGTCCTACGTTACAAACTGAACTCTCCAATGCAAGAACAAGATGCATGTCTTCCTTTAGGAGGTGCGATTGTCAGAAGAAAATAAAAAAGTTTCAGTTTTGTTTTTGCATGTGGGTGGGTATTCTGTTTGTAATAATTGTTTGGATACACTATATTTTTAATATGCTAGTTGTGATAATTTCATGCCAAGTAAAAATGTCCATAGTCATATTTTATGTTCCTAAAGTAACAGAATGACTTTCAATCTAGAAAAGACAAAAGAAATGCTAATGTAGCATTTTTTTCAATTTTTCCGAAAATTTCTGTTTTTTCCTGGAAAAAAAAAACCCGGAAAAAAATTGGTTTTTTTTCGAGCTTCAAAATTTCCGGAAATTTTACATCTCTAGACAATACTAAACTGAACCACAAATCAATATATTTTGCTGCACAGAAACGAAAGATGAAACCTTTCACCCGACTGCACAGAGCCGCAAGCTGCACACCACTGTGTGGTCAAGCAGGACAGGTGGACAAAATTAAGCAGTGCGTCACAAGGAGGCGGTCACGTTCACAGTGCTTAAACTGGCACACTACAAATAACTGTTTTGTCTGCACAAAAGCATCCCTTTTCACCTGTTCCTCAGAGAACAGAAAAGCTGCCATCTGGGAAATGCGGAACATGGGATTTTCAGCTTTACCAAAAACAACAACAACAAACAGTTTGCAATATATTGGATTCCCCCCCCCCTTGTTGTCATCAAACACTTAAAAGACTTACACTGATTCAGCAGCTGCTGCAGAGTACATTCTTGTCTGTGGCAAAGATAATTTAAGCAGATAAAAACTCAAGACATAAAAATCAGAATAAAAACTAATTAAAATCAGTATTTTCAATTTGCCTTGTAAGAAGTCGCCTGTAATATACATATGCCACTGAGCTGGAAAACAAAAAAGTAATAACTTTTGGTTGGAATCAAGAGGTGGAAGGAAGTTTGCAATCTTGCATCTGTGAAGCAAATATATTTTTTTTAACAAAGCAAGAAGGTCTTTGGCAACACTAGACAGTATCCTTTCGCACAATTAAAATGAGTGAAAAGCAACATTTCCCAGTATGGAACTATGAAGCTGCCTTAAATCGGGTCAGACAGCACTGCCCACACTGGAGGCAGGGGATCTCAGGCCTTTCCCCTGCAGCTGGACCCTTCAACGGAAGATGCTCTGGACCAAGGCTCCCTCTGAGCTGTGGAGTCCTGTGAGCAAAAATTCCACTTTGTGAGCTACTGGCATTAAAGTTGTGAGCAGGTGATTTGGCTACTGCCTTCATTAGTTTGCTCTGGAGCCACCCATCCTGGGCTAAGACAAAAATGTGTGAGCCGGAGGCTCAAAAACCGTGAACTAGCTCACACTAACTCAGAGGGAACACTGCTCTGGACTGCATCTTGAGACCTTGGGTATGCAAAGCGTGGATTCTGCCCCCTTGCACATTTATTTGAACAAATAAACAATTAGCCACCTTTCTCCCGTGCAGAACTCAAAGCAGCTTGCAATATATAAATAAAACATTATTAAAATAAATAAAAACCACAATATAACCCCGATAATAAGACCCCAATAAAAATCAACTTCAGTTATACCCCATGTTTTTCTCCTCAGTAGGGACCCAGATAGCCTTACCTTGTTCTCCTCTCCTTGGTTTTATCTCCACAACAACCCTGTGAGGTAGGTTAGGCCGAGAGGGTGTGGCTGGCCTCATATCACCCTGCACGCTTCCACGGTGGAGTTGGGATTTGAAGCTGGGTCTCCCAGTTCTTCACCGGACACTCTCACGGCTAGACCATTCTGGCTGATAATTTGTGTCAATTGCCCCCACATGGTAGGCAATCACATCATCAGCGTTCTAAAGGATTTGCAGAGTTACTGGATCACTACAGTAATAGCAGGATCCTCAGAGACTGAAGCGACAGACGGGAAATTCACAGATGCTCCAGCGTTTCCTTTCAAGCACCCAGAAAATGAAGCCCCACAATTACCTTGTCTCAATCTTTACCGTTACTTATTCTCAGGCAGAGGTCTTTCCCATCATCCTTTTTAACCGGAGATGCCACTGGGGACTGAACCCGAGGCCTTCTGCATGCAAAGCAGGGGCTCTTCCACTGAGCCACAGCCCCTCGTGTCTCCAGGGGGACCCCTAATTGAACAGAGGGTGTTTGTGTGTGGATTCCAACCAGAATGTGCTTCAAGGGTATGAGACCTGGCCCCTCTCTTGCTAGGAGGGGACACTCGTTGTTGTTGTTGTTTTTGGGGGGAGAAGTGCACATGGAAGCAGCCCGTTGAAATATTTGAACACAGCCACCCTGGAGCACCCCACCTGTGCCTGCGCACATCATCCTTTACACCTGCATCAGTTGATCGCCTGCTGAGATCGATGCTGAATGGAGTGCTACGGGCTCCTGCCTCTTGCATTCCATTCCAGAAAACAGACTAGGTACCTGTGGCCATGATAGTGTCATCCTTCCCCTGGGTGAAGACGACGATTCGCTGCCTTTTCAGGTTCACTTTTGGCAGGGCTTGTGCCTTTCGGGCCATTTCTCTGATGTCCTCGGTCTGGTAACGGAAAAGAGAGAAACGGGTCTTGTGGGCTGTACAAAGGACACCAAGCATGAGGGCAATGCTTTTTAGCAGATTACAGAACCATTTTTGCATTGTCAGCCATGAGGGCAGGCCTCTCTTTTCAGGCAACTGCGTATCAGCACTGCCAGCACTGTGTAAATACAACCAGGAAGTAACCAATGTGCTCCATACGGGACTTTTAAAATCCCCACTATGTATCCCACCTACTCCACCGAGCAGACGTTGGGAGTCTTCCTCCATCTTAAGACGCTAAGTCGCGGGAAGATTCCTTAGACTGCAGGAAAGCATCCAACTTGGCCGAGTGACGTGGCATGCATGTTAGCACATTATTGCAAACCTTTAACACTGTAGATATTTTTATCTGAACAGAGTGAAGGTTGACAGAGGGAACTTCTTCTCCCTTTCCCAAAAGACTAGAACTTGGAAGACATCCAATGAAGCTGATGGGCAGTAGATTAAGGAAGGACAAAAACTGCGGAATTCATAGTCAGCTTAAGAATCAGCAGATTCATGGAGGAGAGGTCTATCAGTAGCTACCAGCCATAGTGACTAAAGGGAACCTCCACATTCGGGGGCAGCCAACCTCTGAATCCCAGAGCCAGGAGGCAACATCAGGGGAAGGCCTCGGCCTTTATGTTCTGTTGTTGGCCCTCCAGAGGAACCTGGTTGGCCACCGTGTGAGATGGGAGGCTGGACTAGACGGACCAGCAGGGCTCTTCTTGTGTTCTTGTGTTCACAGTGTATATTCTCCTTTATCTGAATGGGAAAACCCCCAAATACTGGTATAAATAGAATTTTAAATATGGAGACGAACAATGTTAAGTAGTATTATAAATCTAGCTGCAGGGCATAATATTATTCCCATACATCTGAAGGTGTTTTAGTTTGCTGGGTCCAAAGCTGCAATACATTAATTTTTATGTTTTTATTTTGCTAGGTTTGCTGGTACAAAATCTCTCCCTTGTCGAGCCTGAGCTGGAATGTCCTTGTCGTGAAGGACCAGCCATTCCCCCACTGCCTGCTGTGCGCCTCTCATGCCTCCTTGTCACACTCTCTGGCACCAGCCAAGCTGTCTCTTCTCATGGCAAATTCCTGAATACATTTCTATGGCTGGGGTGTGTGCCCCCCCCCCCGCCAACTTCATTTTTCTTAAGGGTAAATTACCCAAGATGTACAGAAATGCCAAAAAGACGCTCCCTCCCCCCCCCGTGTGATACCTGAACGGTGGCTGACCTTCAAGCAGCCAAATCGCAACCATCACTGTTTGCAGCACCGGGAAGGAGACAGCCTAATGTAAAAAGCCAGGCGCACCAGACCACTTTCTCCGCATCCTTCTGGGTGGTCACAGGAGATGGTGGGCAGAAGACCTGTGCACCCTAACCCCCTCTCCCCGGTGGGCCCCCACCTCATGGGGTTGGCCCCCCCCACTTTACTGGGCTGCTGCTGCTGCGAAGGCCTGGGAGAATCTGCAGAGGCGATAATGTCAGGAGAGACCTTCTATTCACTAGAGAGGTTACCAAGGAAAGTGAAAGTATAGGAGACACAGGGCTGTTTTGGGTAGCGACTACACGCCTCTCTTAACAACTAGTTGTAGACTTATTAGCTCAGATCTACCCCACCCCCCCATTTACTCTATATCAACTGCCATGGCATTGTGCTGTGTTAAACTTACTTTTGAGTTATACAAAACTTTTCTTCAGGTGCAAATAGCACACCTCTCTCAAGCACAGCTAAGAACAGAGTAATATTATCAGCCAATAGGTAAAGGTAAAGGTTCCCTTGCTCGAAAGCCAGTCGAGTCCGACTCTAGGGTTGCGGTGCTCATCTCCGTTTCAAAGCCGAAGAGCCAGCGCTGTCCGAAGACATTTCCGTGGTCATGTGGCCGGCGTGACTAAAGACCAAGGCGCATGGAACGCTGTTACCTTCTTTCCACTGAAGTGGTACCTATTCATCTACTTGCAATTTCTTGCTTTCGAACTGCAAGGTTGGCAGGAGCTGGAACTAGCCAATACCAAGCAGTAAAGTCTCGGAGGTGTGGCTGTACGCACCAGTGCGGATGGTGGCATTTTTCAATGCTACTCCCAAGTTTCATTTCTGACACATCAGGGAGAGGTGTTTCTTACCGAGCTCTCTTCACCATGCTTTAGTTTCTGAAGTTGAGGTAGGGCTGTTTTCTTTTAAAAACACACTGCATTCCAGTGTGGCACAACCCAACGATCACTTCCACTCACAAGGCAGCACAGTCGCGTAGCTCTGCAGCTCCACCCTAAACCAGAAGCATAAGCTTCTACTCGGGAAGAGGCTGGTCCCAGAGAAGGAAAGGTGATGTTTGTGTGTCTGTATAGAGTGCTGTTAGGTCACAGCTGAGTTATGGTGACCCCATAGGCTTTTCAAGGCAAGAGAGGAGCAGAGGTGGCTTTGCCATGGCCTGCCTCTGCGTAGCAACCCTGGACTTCCTCGGTGGCCCCCCCTCCAAGGACTCACCAGGGCCAACCCTGCTTAGCTTCTGAGACCTGATGAGATCGGGCCATGCAAGGCAGTACAGAGACTAACAGGGGTGGGTTTGCCCTCGCCGGCCTCCGCGTAACAACCCTGAACTTACTTGACCGTCTCCCATCCAAGGACCAACTAGGGCCGACCCCGCTTAGCTTCCAAGATCTGACGAGATCCGTCTAGCCTGGGGCATGCCGGTCAGGGATGCTTGGCCATTGCTTACTTACACACCGTAAGACCAACACGGCAACATCTGCCTGCACAGAACTTTCAAAACCCCTCCAATGCTGTTGTAAAGTAGTATTCAACTGCACAGTCTGTCCACCTTTGTCCTCCTATGATTTTTCATTCTTTTTCCCCCAAGCGGCTGATCTTGGTCACTGGGATTTTTTTTTGTTTTTGGTGTGTGGCTAACTCTCAGTGCTGCACACATATCAACTGTTACACATCACTGTTGGCAGATGATTCAATAGGTCACTTTCTGCCGACTGAAAGGGGCCATATGGGCTAAGAGCACCGTCGCTGTGGTGTTTCCAGTGCACTGTGATCAGATGAGGCAGATTTAGGATGCTCGGCAGAAGCGGTGCCAGAATCTCTTAAGAAAGCGCGAATGGAAAGGTTAATACACAGGCGATGAGCAGACACTGGCAAAAGCGTTGTGTCACTCAGGGTGAATTTAAACCTGGCACATCCCAGGTTTTTAGCTCTGGGGCGGAGGGAGTAAAAACATTAGAATGGACATGGCTTATGCCGCCCCACGCCCTACCTACCTTTCAAGTGCTGATCCTCTGTGCTTTGCCCTAAGTCAAATGTGCAAGATTTGTAACAATGCATTACTTGGTAGAAAGCCAAGTATTTTTATCCTAACAATACAGCCCACTGAAAGGAAACAGTTTTTAAAATCACGGCGTGCTGTAAAAGGACTCACCAAGTTTTATGGCATGTGAAATGAAATAGTTTTTAACACTTAATAGACTGATGGTACAGATGAGTCTGCTCATGAGTGATCCTGAACCAGCAGCATTTTCAAAGAAGCAGGGGGGCAACAGAGGTGCATTCCCCCCCCCCCCGGTACTTTTTTTGCCTGTACCCTGACCAAAGTCACAGATCAGCATCTGGTCCGTGAGCTGAATTGCGTGCCTGATCAAGCCCAATAGGGCGGGAGCCGCCGTCCCCAATGCCTTTGCACCAGGAACAGAAACCCCAAGAGGAGAGCGGCGGGCAGGCGCCAAAGAGCAGGGGAGGCAGGTTCCACCCAGACATTATCCCGCTAAACACCAGAGACGTTGCTTGTCACATTACTCATGCAGTCTCTGGGTCCTTCAGCTGTCAGAGCTCCTGATCACGTTAGTTAGCTCTCTCTGGCACACTGTTAATTCCTGGGAATGCTCAGCTATTCCTAGAGCAACATTATAAAGTCAAGACCAGAACCTCTTAAAAAGAAAAAAGACTGATGCCGTTAACTGGCTCAATAAAAGATGGGAGACTGTGCGTGCGTGCGTGCGCATGTGTGTGCCTGTCTGTCAGGAGGCTGCACATTTATGCAAACCCAGATGGGAAACTCCACTTGAGAGCATTAACAAAAGCAGCAGAAGAGGCAGGGCTTACATTAATCAGCTCTTAACAATTCCACACACAACCTTGGTAAAAAAAAATCATTTGCATAACGATAATCCGCATGTGGCAGAGTGTAAGTTATTTAAAATGGTGTTATATTTCAGCGTTTAGTCGTGCTTCGCCACTGCTTTCGGAGCGGGTCCTGATGGGAGCGTAATTCAGCTAATGAGGTGGCTTTTTAGCAGGCCCAACTGACAGGTCCCGTATCTGCAGCGGCAGCTTGAAGCCGTGCCCGGCCTCTTGGCTTCCCAAGAGGCTTTTCAGAATTCAATAAATAACATCTGTGGGCGATGTTGGGTGCAGACCTAGCCGAGTGCGTCATAACACTGAGCTGGCAGAACAAAGACACCATGACGACTGCCAGGTTTCCATGGTAACTGCGGTGAGGCTTGGAGAGTATAATAGCACATCAATCACTGTCCAAAAGAACTTCATTATCAGCAAGGGGGGGGGGAGGAGGGAGGGGAAAAATCCCTTCGAATCTGTTTAGCCTGCAACGTAGGTTAACTCACCTCAAAGCCTTGCTCTCGAGCAAAAGTGGCGGCTTCCTGAAATATTAATAAAAAGGAACAGTTAATTATAAAGCACCAGATAATAAAGAAATAACACATTCGGAGGCTCATTCAGGCAGGCTCTGTTCCCGTAATTATCTCAACATGTCCGTGTGCCGCTGCCCCGCTCCTCGGGCCAAGGGGGGGGGGGCACTCCTTCCCCCAGACAAGACGACAGCACTGAAGTGTCAACACACTTCACAAACCAAGGAAGGAAAAGACCGGCTTCCTTCACCTCTGGCAACATGAGTGTGGACTAATGGCCTTTAATAGAGAAAGGTATGGCGAGCCAGGGCACTTATTGCGGTATTACTGAGCGCTCGTCATTTGTACAGCACGTCCCAAGGCAGCGATGTGGGAAACACACGTTATGCACAGCATCAGGCTGCCACCAGGTTGGTAGTTCTCTGTATTATGACATCACCTGGTTTGAGTGCCCCCGCCCAGGAGAGGGGCTTCTCAGTTGCGGCACCAAGACTCTGGAACTCTCCCCCCCCCCCCCGCCCCCCTTTTCCCCCCCCCCGGACTCATTTGCTCCCTTCTGTGGCCATCTTCAGCTACCAGGTGAAGACGTTTTCATTTCATCTGCCATTCCCTCAATAACCCCTCCTTTCCGCCCAATCTGTTAATTGTTGTTTTTATGCCCATGTATTTTATTGTGCTGCATGTGCATTTGATTGGTTTTAATGGTTTTTATTATTTAATTTTTTAATCCGTTAGTCACCTTGATGGTCTGGATAAGGGCAGAAGGGCAGGGTATCAATCTTCTAAATAATAATAGTCACAAAAATCATCCTGTGATGAGTGTCCCTACCCCCCACCCCACCTCCCATGACTGGCTGACTCGCAAAGAAGCTCATACAATGAAGCCATCATCTAGATGACTGATCGCACGTCTGGCAGGGAAGAGGGAGAAACTCCGCACAGGGATGCAGTTTTAAGCGGCAGCCCGGTGTCTGGCATCAGGTCCGGCTTCAGTCTTCCCAAAGGCTCTACATACTGGCTCAAACCACCTCATAACAGAATTTGGTTTTCTGACTTGAACCCTCAGTCTTAAACACCACCACACCATTTTTCAAGGATTATATCTGGTGCTTAGGTTCAGAGACTCTGAAGGCCATTTCTTATACGTTTCACATTAAAGGATCCTGATCACATTTCATTAAAAAAACAACAACAACACAACAAACACAGTCAAATCAATAACGGCTTAATCAGAAGATTCCTTAGGCTATTCTGATGGCTTAATCACAGCTTTAAGCAATTCAACTCCTCTCCCCTCAAGGAGCACGAACATCACTGGACCATTAGAATGTGCTCATTACTTATTTCTTATTTATATTCAACACAAATGGCTTCCATTAGTCTTTCTGTTTTCAAACAGAACCACAGACTAGGGGGGAAATGGAGGAATAATGTTGATACATGACAGTGCAAATAAAAGCTTTATTAGGAAAGTAATTTACTATATGATATATGCTTTGTATACTGCTTATACACATTTGTTTAATACTTTTTATTGTTTAAATGGTTTTTTTTAACAATTAAACACATTTTAAATTATACAGACATGTCAGTCATCTGGAGTTATCCATTCTTAAATTGAACTAGGAAGTGACACTGCTACCAATTAACTGCATATCAATTCATAATGGATGACGACTTCTGGCAAGTATCACCGTGACTCCTGCTGTTTGCCTGTTACCCTCCCTTCTTTACAACTCAACTTTGCAAGGAATATTCTGAAACTCCGGACAGTCACAGTTATCAGAGCTACAGACTGAACTGATGCGCCCCCCCCCCACTGGCTGCCGGGAAGTTCTCCCATGCCCCCTGAGAGCCATGAGAGGGTTGTCTTCCAACCCTCCAATCCTCACCCACTGCATCGTGTTGTTGCTGCTTGGTTGTTGGTTGAATTTTGTAATCCACTCTATGTCTTGGTTGTGAAAGGTGGGCTACAAATAAAATTAATCAAATCAAATCAAATAATGCTGTTGCACGGCTTTTTCAGCGAGCTTTGCAAAACAAACAACAAAAAAGCTTCCTGGTGAATTGTGCCCGGAACTATCTAAAGAAGCTTTTAACGCATACACATTTCTAGAATAGTTTTACTCTTTAAAGAAATATTCTGGGGATTGTTGTATTGTTGGATGATCTAACCCTCTGAAGGGAAAACACATAGTTCTTCCAGGAGGAAGCTGATGTTAATCAAACCAGATAAGCTGTAAAAAGCACACTTCCTCAGGCTGATCACTGGAGAAGCAGAAGGTTGAGCAGGTTAGCTCGAGCAAAGGTTGCCAAAAAACCCGAAGCAAGGCGTGAACAATTGCCAGCAAGGTTCGCCACATTGACAATTTACTAACAAAAGAATCCCCCCCCTACATCAGGGGTGTCAGTAGCCTTTGCTAGCCCAGCTGTCAAGGCACAGAGTGGAAGGTTCAAAGGTATCAAGCAGTGTATTCTTAGAGCAGCTTGCAATTAACAAAGCCCAGGCCTCCATGGAGAGGGGAGGAGGCCCAAGCAAGCCTTCAGTGCCCAATAATGCACTCAGAACAAACTACTATACAATCAAGATAGGCTTAGGTGGAAATGGGACACAGATAATGGAATAAAAGAAAAACGGGGGGGGGGGGTTAATGAAGTTCACAGACTATATAAACATGAACTAAATACTACCTCCTCTGAGCCAGAAAACATTTACAATTCCAGTTTTGGGTGACAAAACTGAAACAGGAAGTTAGAGCCTCTCCCAAGGGGGGGGGGTTGTTGTTCAGTCGTACAGTCGAGTCCGACTCCTCACGACCCCATGGATTACATCACGCCAAGCCCCTCTGTCTTCCACTGTTCTCCAGAGCCTGCTTAATTTCATGTTCGTTGCATCGATGACACTGTCTAACCATCTCATCCTTTGCCATCTTTGACCTTCAATCTTCCCCAGCATCAGGGTCTTCTCCAGTGAGTGCTCCCTTCTCATGTGGTGGCCAAAATATTTGAGCTTCAGTTTCATTATCTGGCCTTCCAGGGAACAGTCAGGATTGATTTCTTTGAGGATTGACTGATTTGATCTTCTTGCAGTCCAAGGGACTCTCGAGAGTCTTCTCCAGCACCATAATTCAAAAGAATCTATTCTTCGGCGCTCGGCCTTCCTTATAATCCACTGTTTTGCAGCCATACATGACTACTGGGAATACCATCGCTTTGACCATGCGGACTTTTCTTGGCAGGGTGATGCCTCTACTTTTTATTATGCTGTCTAGGTTCGCCATCACTTTCCTCCCAAGGAGAAGACATCTTTTAATTTCATGGCTGCAGTCACCATCTGCAGTGATCTTGGATCCCAGGAATGTGAAGTAAGCTCTTGTAAGCCACTCTGAGCCTGTTCGTGGGAAGGGCGGGGTATAAATGCAATGAAATAAATAAATAAAATAAGTCTGTCACTGCTTCCATTGCTTCCCCTTCTATTTGCCAAGTAGTGATGGGGCCAGATGCCATGATCTTAGTTTTAAGTGTTAAGTTTCAAGCCAACTTTTGTGCTCTACTCTTTCACCCTTAGCAAGAGGTTCTTGAGGTCCTTCACTTTCTACCATTAGAGAGGTATCGTCTGCATATCTGAGGTTGTTGACGTTTTCCCCAGCAATCTTAATTGCGGCTTGTGATTCACTCAGGCTGGCATTTCGTATGATGTACTCTGCATATAAATTAAATAAGCAGGGTGACAATATACATCCTTGCCGTACTCCCTTTTCCTATGCTAAACCAAT